TACTTGGCCACTTACGTTTGGGTGTTCTCGTCCGAACACGGCTGCTGACACCAAAGCCCGAGAACTCGGAACGAGGCTTCAGCTACCTGCCTTCGCTTTTAGGTGCCAGGGATGGAATCGTCAGCTATCTCAATTTTACATAATTTTACCTAATTTTCCGCCCACCAGGAGCGATGGTAGGCATTCTTCGCAGCTAGCAACCGGAAATAAAGTTCGGGATAGTGAGCTGGCCAGAAGGGTCGCCGAAGCACAGCAATGTGCGGCAATCTATAGTGGCCCGAGAGCCCGTCGTCACCCTGCTTCCACTTTCCCTGCCACACCTGCCCTCAAATGATTCTTCCGAGGATCAATAGAGTCCCTTACCTACCTCAGGCATATTTCTTCATCTTCTTCACCCACAATGTGAAGACATAATACGAATAGAGATAGCGCAAAAACTTCAAATATTGCAATTTTCTCTCCAGATGCAGCCTTGGGCAGGTATATTTTAAGGGCTCTGAGCAACTCTAACTTAACACAAGAAAACGACACATCGGAAGCCATATCGGAGAACCCGAATCTCAATAGCTTGCACTCTCCTCCACCGCGCAAGTGTTTCAGCGGGTGTATAGATCTTTCTTTGGATTGTAAAATAGGGGGAGAGCGCGAACGCAGTCCCCCACTACCAAAAATTGCATGCCCCATCTGCCCCAGTTTGGGGTAGTGGCAGGGGTCAGCACGAGCGCAGTGCAATGCCCGCGCCTCTCCCTGGGGGCACCGCCATCTTGACCACGGTCACCCCGACACCAGGTAAGTATGCCAGACAACGGGTCGCACTCGGTCAGCACCCATCGTGACGTCTTGTGTCATTCTGGTGAGGTGCAGACGACGATCGAAGATTACTGTTTGCTTCTTGTATATTTTAAGGAGCCATTTGAAGAAACACTAATGGCCCACAAATATGCGTCGACCTGTTAAATAAAATTGAACCCAGCTCTGATAGATGTCTAAAAAAAAGCTAAAGTTTGATCAAATATAATAGCAGTTTTAGCGCAACAAGCATGAATCATCTTTACGCCGCTAGAGGCGCTAGCGCTGCGGTCAATTAACGGAGGGCTCACGTTTTATCCAAGGCTATTCATGTTCATGCACTTGTGCATGCATTTTCAGCTCCACATCATGACGTTCCAGTCAATAAAGAAATTACAGCACAGTCACTTTCCATGTGAAGGTTTCGCATAACATCGACTGCGAAGATACGTGCGATCTACTAATTGTTTTTTTTTTTCTGCGCTTCGGGAAGGGATGTTTTGCATATTCGTACATTTTGATAGACCCATTTTTTGTAATTCGAAGGTATTTTTTTTATGGAAAGCAAGTAGCGAGTTAAAACGCACCCGTCCTCTCGTGCTGATGGTACCTTTGTCTTGGGGAAAAAAAAAACATCATGGGCGAAAGCCAATACAATTTTAAAGACTAAGCTGTGTATAGAAAACTGTCATGTGAAACTCGGGCAGTTTGAAAACACTCTGCGCTTTCATATTCACACATCATTTTCGAACGCATTGGTTTGAACTGGGCAAAGGAGGTCTTCTGCAAGTCTAAATTTCGCAAATCGAAGTGACGAACTGAGGCGCTGAACGCTGAAGCAGCTGCAAGCAAGCTCTCTTCATTGTTGAACCCACTCATGAAAACTTTTCAGCGTCTTTTGTTGTAGATCTCAAACAGGGTGACAGCGGGAATCCTCAAATGGCCACGACTACTATTTCTGATCTAATTAGACCGAAACGCGCGTCCGAGGTACTCGGTACAAGTGTTGCGTTAGCGGGAATTGAATCGCAGTCTTTGCTTAGGTTAAGAATCTTGGTGGTGGAATGAGAAATTGTTGTTGTATGCATTGATGGTAGATATCACACGAGCTAAAATTTTAGAAACGAAAGTGAAATCGCTTGAAAACATTGAACACACTCGAAAATGAATTGCGGGTAGTGTTAGACAGCTACAAAAGAAGAAAAGGAAACATTATAGGAGGTCCCAAACTGAAACATTCTAAAACACCTAAAGCATGAACGTCTACTGACGAGGTATGTTATTTTGATATTAAAATTCATTTGCGTATGCTGCAATCAACACTTGATTGATGTTAGGCCACTACAGTACCAATACTAGCGACTTGAAGTGGCAGCCTGGCTATTGAAATGTCAGGTAACAAAATTTCTGAAATAGGCACTTGTGCGTCACCAAAACATTCAAAGAGGGCGCTTGTGTGTCGCCAACCCATAGATGAGCCGCCAGGATCTCTTATATAGGATAGGTGGGGGGGGGGGGGGGGGGGCTGAGCAAGTGAGTACATCCTGGGGCCGTATCAACCGCTAGTGCCCACAAGCTAGGGTCCTTTCAGCACCGCCGCTGTCTCAAAGTGTGGAGCGGGCATTGCTGCTGACGTCACGATATCTTGTAAGCATGTGAAGAGAAAATTTAGACGTCACAGCACACTCGGGGCGCAGTTGAAAGATAGACTTGGTTTAGCAGATAGTGCGATTCGAGAAAGCTTATAAAATTGAGCTTTTTTTGTGTGTTATCACAATTATAAAGAAAAAAAAAGTCTTTAAGTCAAGGACAACCAAGACAGCATTATAAGTACTTTGTATTAAATCTGCAGCATTTCTTTGCGAACTTTAGTGATTTTAAGGGTATCTATATACCTGGCCGCTTACGTTTGGGTGTTCTCGTCCGAACACGGCTGCTGACACCAAAGCCCGAGCACTCGGAACGAGGCTTCAGCTACCTGCCTTCGCTTTTAGGTGCCAGGGATGGAACTTGTACCACTCTACGTGGGAATGCTGCGCTCCGCGGGGTGTTCCTCTCATTCACAAACCTATTCCTTCCTTTTGGGAGTCTACAATGCTCAGATTACGCCAGCAGGAACAGTAGCAGCTGTTCCAGCGGGCTCGCAGGATCGCACAAAGCAGTAGAGCTCTTGACTCGGGGCCCCACTCAACCTCGGCTCCCCATATATGCACTCGTTATAAAAAGTTTGTTATCTCTTGGCAAATAATTCGTAATGTCATCCTAAATCATAATATGCACTAAGCAGTCACATACAAATATTATTGCACAAACATCTAATTATTGATGAAGATCTAATATTTTAGCGGTATCTATATGGCCGTTATGTACCATGTTTCAGACAGAAATTCTTAGTGGACACACTGTCTCACTCACTCTCAGCATTTTTGTGCATTTCAACATCTTGAATATCGCCAATTATATAAGGTACCCACTGAAGTTTGTTTTTAACAATTTCTGCGCAAATCATTAAGCAGTCGATAGATATGTCAGAGGATGGAGTAGGTGTGCTTTAATTAGAAGCAGTGAGCAGAAGTCAGCGGGGTATCATGTAAAATGAAAAGCACTGCTTTGGGACGACTTCAGTTAATAATGCCGTAACAACGAAGACGTGGCACGACACGAGTAATGCTGTAGTTTCAAATAAGGTTCAACTTTTTTGGGTGATTTGCGTTCTTTTTAACTTACTTACAGAAGTTATATGGTTTGAAATGAAAAGAAAACATCATGCTGTTTCTCTCAGCGTTTGTGGACAGCTGTCGCTAAGCTGAGTGCTGGTCAATGGTAACACAAACTAAGTTCAATTTAAATCAGTAAATGACCCCTGTTGTAGTCTTGAAGTTGTTAAGAGTTCACACATATAGTACTATGGCTTGGTGCTCTTTCAAGTTGCGCTCTTCTGAATGGGTTAGAAAACTGCTGGTGACAATAAAATATCCCCCGTAGGCTGATGTCTGGCAAACAGGTTTGTTGTACAAGCAGATTACGGGAAAGCATGCTTCCTTTCCTAGTACATGCATCACGTCAGAAGCTGTGAAGGCAGATGTTCAAGAATTGGCCTTTGGCAGGAGCCATTAGCGGAAAGTACAAACAGTCCATTTCACCTTGTGAAGTT